CGGCACATTGTGAAATAAAGTCAATTCTTGGATCATTGCAAACGTATCACCATGTTTACAGGGTCTTTCGTAGACACCCTACCTGGGGTCAACAGAGAATCAAGCATGACTACTTCCCTGAGAATCAAACTTGGCTTGGTTTTCACGGTAAGAAATACCGAGACAATTGGGTTTTGTATGACTCTTACATGTCCAAGGCCACGAAGTGGCAGCGGCGCCAGTTCAATCTCATTCGATTGAGTCGGATCAAAAAGAGTTGAAAGTTTGCAAATCAAATCCTGACATTTCTGCTTCTTGTGTGATTGTGATGTGTGTGTAGTTCGCCTTTTCTGCATTTTTTTCCTGTAAACATGCCGCGCTCGCACGTTGGCAATTTCTGACGTTTGTGCTTACGTGCCTGGGTTGTGTGCACCCACTTTCGAAGGCAGAGGCCGTACTACAGTCTTCCCCCGAATACAACGTACGGTCATTATAGCCGAATTCGGTCTATCTTTCCGTCTAAATTCAGCTATAATGACCGTACGTTGTATTCGGGGGAAGACTGTAGCAGAATACTGAACTTGACATGTAGAGTCATAAATTCTCACAAATAAAGCCAGTGCGTCCGCAGAAATGGGAGGGGGAAAAAACATACCGATTAGATATCCCGCGTCTAATGTGTCTCTCTCTCTTCCACACACGCACACACACACAAACACACAGTGACACCTGTTTTACTCCTTCCTCCTGTCTCCCCCATCCCGTGCAACGTGGCAGTGTGGCACGAAAAATTTTCTTCATCTTTTTTCTTGTCATCCTCCTCCTCCCTCTTGCTCCTATCTCCTGCTTTCGTGACGTGCGATTTTCTTTTCTTGTTCTCGTCGTTGTCATACTTCCCCCTCCTCCTCCTCTCTACTAGTCCTCGTCCCTCCTCCTCCCTCCTCCTTCCTTTCCCCTCCCGTTGTGTTGCCACGTGGCACACTCCTCTTCCTCCTACCTCCATCCTCTCTACTCCCGTTGCGGACCACGTGGCAGACCGGCACACCATTTTATTTTCACCTTGTTCTGATCCTCGTCATCCTCTCCCTCCTCTTTCCTCGTCTACCCTCGTCCTCCTCCCTCCTCTCCCTCCACTTTCCACCTCCTCCCTCCTCCTCCTCCCTCCTCCTCCCTCCTCCTCCTCGTCCATCCTCCTCATCTCCCCTAGTCCTCCTTTCTCCTTCCGTTGTGTTGCTACGTGGCACACTCCTCTTCCTCCTACCTTCTTCCTCCTCTCTACTCCCGTTGTGGACCGCGTGGCACAGCGGCACATAATTTTATTCTCACCTTGTTCTGGTCCTCGTCATCCTCTCCCTCCTCTTTCCTCCTCGTCTCTCCTCGTCCTCCTTCCTCCTCCGTCCATCCTCCTGGTCCTCCTTTTTTTCTCGTTATCGCCCTCGTCATCCTTCTCCTCCTCCTTCCTCATCGTCCTCCCTCCTTCTCCACCTCCCTCCCGCGTGAGTCGCTTTTCTCTCGTTATCGTCCTCGACATCCTTCTCCTCCTCCTCCTCCTCCTTCCTCGTCGCCCGCCCTCCTTCTCCACCTGCCTCCTCGACTTCCTCCTATTTCCTGCTCCACCTTCCTCCTCCCGTCAAACGTCTTCCTCATTCCTCCGTCCATCCTCCTGCCCCCTCTCCTCCAATCGCGTGCCACGTGGCACACCAACGCGTGATTCGTTTTTTCTTCTCGTTATCGTCCTCGTCATCCTTCTCCTCCTCCTTCCTCGTCGTTCTCCCTCCTCCACCTCCCTCCTCTTTTCTCCTCCTTCCTCGTCGTCCTCCCTCCTTCTCCACCTCCCTCCTCTTTCCTCCTCCCTCCTCCCTCCTCCMCCTCCCTCCTCTTTCCTCCTCCCTCTTCCACCTCCCTCCTCTTTCCTCCTCCTCCTTCCTCGATCACCTCCTCCCTCCTCCTCCTTCCTCGATCACCATCTCCCTCCTCCACTTCCTCATATTTCCTGCTCCACCTTCCTCCTCCCGTCACACGCCACGTGGCAAACCGGGACCCGATCTTTTTCGTCTTATTCTCACGCTCATCATTCTCCTCCCTCCCCCTCCTCTTCCTTCCTACTCATCTCCCCTCCTCCTCCCAGCTTCAACTTCGTTAACCCCCTTCCCCGTCCTTCCTCCTCCTTCCTCCCTCCTTCCTCCTCTCTCCTCCCGTCACGTTCAACGTGCAATACCGACCCGAAATTATTTCGCAATTATTTTTGGTAATCTCCAATTCATCCACATTATCCTCCTCCCTCGCCATCCTCCTCGTCCTCCTTTCTCCCCGTTTCGGCCCCCCTCCGTCCTCCTCCTCCTCCTCCTCCTCCTCCTCCTCCTCCCTCCTCTGGTCACGTGCGACTTGTATTTATCTTGTTCTCGTCTTCGTCACTCTCCATCGTCCCTCGTTCCTCCTTCCTCATCCTCCCTCTTCCTTCCTCTCCTCTCCTGTCGCATCCCACGTGGCAAACCCGCACGCGATCTTTTTTCACCCTGTCCGCGTCTTGCCCCCCCTCCCCCCTCCTTCCTCCTCCCCTTTCCCCCTCCTCATCCTCTTTCCTCCTTTCTCCTCTTTGCTCCTCCATCCCCTCTCTCCTCCCGTCGCTTCCCGTGCGCCCAACCAACATGCGATTCTTTCCTTCCATCTTCTTCTCGTCCTCCTCGTCCTCCTCGCCCTCCTCCCTCCTCTTCTTCCTTCCTCCTCATCTCCCTCCTCCTCCCTTTCGACTCCGCTCGTCTTCCTCCCTTCGTTATCCTCCTTCCTCCTCCGCCTTCCCCCACTCTATGAAATCCATCAGACTGGCCTGATAAGCTCTGCCCGTTCAGAGCAGACGCTCGAACAGTCCACATCTACCCTACACTGCGGGAGACCCAAACGACGAAAACCCTACAGTATGCGCCAGAGTAGGAGAGATCAACTACTAGTATCTTGCACGTGACGAGGAACAACCTATCGGATCCACCTCTTCTGTTCTCTTCTGTTCTTTTCGCCGCACCCAAAAGCGGAAATCCGAAAAAAAAAAAAAAAAAAAAAAAAAACTATCATCCACCTCTTGTGTTCTCTTCTTTTCTTTTCGCCGCACCCAAAAGCGGAAATCCGGAAAAAAAAAAAAAAAAACTCGCATCCACCTCTTGTGTTCTCTTCTTTTCTTTTCGCCGCACCCAAAAGCGGAAATCCGTCGATTGCCTCGACATCCCGGACCCATGAAGTTGAATGCACGAAAGACGTTCCAATCTGTCCAGCGTGTAGCGTCCCAAGACGGCTAACGGAGAGGAAGATCTCACTAGATCGACTGGGACTTTTTCCCCCGTGTATGTGGAGAGTCTACAGTAGCATTCCCAGTTCATCAGATTCGAAAGAGGGAACAGATGATTTCGTTAGCATTATCGGACGTACAAGCGGTGAAACAAATGGAGATCGACGAATATTTTCAAGACCTTCTCTCAGAGGGCGTGGAAAGGGGAACATCACAAAAATGTTTCGCTTCTCCTTCACATACTTACGTTCACTTCAAAGAAAAAGAAAAGAAAAATAAAAAAAAGGACGATAGATCACGATCTATGGTCGGTACACACAGCTCGGGAGTCGAGCGATCTGCAAACGGCCAACAGCTGAAAAACAGAAATGGAGGAGGTGAAAGAGAAGGAGTAGGAGGAAGCGAAGGCGAGGAGCACAAGCAGAAGGAGAAGTCCTCGCAAATCTCATCTTCGATTTTAAAACAAAAAATGAAAGAAACGAGGGGGGGCTTTCCAGATCCATGGACTAGGGAGTCTCGCTATCTGGAAACGGTCAACACACAAAGATCAAAAATGGAGGAGGAGAAAGAGGAAGAGCAGGTTCGGTAAGGAGGAAAAAAAAGAAAACCAAAACAATAAATCACAAAAAAAAAAAGGAAAAGAGTGACGACCTTGAGCTATCATATCATCATTGGGCTTCACAGCCCGAGAGAATTGGGAGGGCTTGACGAATCCGGATCCGAACTTGGTCTGTATTTCAATAACCGTTCATGAGTGTACCAACTGAGCTAGGCCCGTCAGCACTTAACAGTCCCCCACCTGCTGAGCTGGCAGGGTGGTTATCCCAGGAGAAAAGGAACAAGAAAAAGAAACATCGAGCCTCGCTCCCCTACGCGACATTCTACATGTATCTGGACGCTTTCGGGACGAGTCCAATACGTTGAATCTATAGGGTCCACAGAGCATCGGAACGGATGCAGAGTGTTCTGCAGTGGAGCGAGGCGTCACTCTCATTGTCGCGGCGTCATGATTTGAAGGCCGCACAGTGGCGCTGTCGTCTCGTTGTGGGCCCACAGCCCACCCCCACCAGAGCATTGGGATGTGCTTGTGGATGCCTTGGCGGCATTACATAACACTATTCTGGTGGGAGGCAGGCTGGGCAAGTCAATGACAAGGAGAATCACTGCGCCCATCTACAAGAAAGGGGAACGTGATGAGGTGAGGTGAGGAATTGGTTTAACGAAGGACCCGACCTTTTTCGTCTTATTCTCACGCTCATCATTCTCCTCCCTCCCCCTCCTCTTCCTTCCTACTCATCTCCACTCCTCCTCCCAGCTTCAACTTCGTTAACCCCCTTCCCCGCCCTTCCTCCTCCTTCCCCCTTCCCCGTCCAATGACAATACGGTCTTGCAATTGAAGTTCCATGTACTTGTGGATGACTTGATATTCTGGTGGGAGGTAGGCTGGGCTCAGAAACAGGGAAGATTCTACTTCTACCAGGCCTTGTCATGACGGACCAGGGAGCCTTCATCCATTCTGGTGAGAGACAAGCTGGGACATGTAATGCACTTGTGGGGCCGGAAGAAAAGGTGAGCTTCTCTCTATGATGTATCTATAGTGGAGGATACTACAGTAAGCAGAGCACAGCAGCACACAATGCAGAAAAATGAGGAGAACAAAAACCATCAGGCAGGGCTGCACACACCCGATTACAGACACTTTCGCACTGGACAACGGCCAATGCACATGACACACACATACCTCAAAATGTTCCTGGACTTTCCTCGGATCCATCTGCTGGACATTTCCATGCTGGTCCATTCCCGTCTGAATATTGGCGTCAGGGCTTTGGTACATGTTTGCAAACAGCAGTGTCTGGCTGGCATTGGGTCTGTTGTGGAGTCGTGAGCATCGATCTCCGTGGCGACACGCACCAATCTTGAAGTAGAACGGACAGTTCACCCTGTCCTTCTCCGTGCCAAAGATGGAAGCCAAGTGCTCCGCCATTTTTTTTCACCGACACTTCTCCGTGCCTGCGCCTTCAACTGCAAGCAATCAATCACCACCCCCTCAACTTCCGCAAGCTCCAGCTTCTGCGCTGCGTATTGTTTCAAACGGCCAACTCAATGTTGCTACTCCCTCACAGCATTCCCAACCCCGAAGAAGCTCTGTCCAGCCAAGACCCCCCCCCCCCCCCCCCCCCCCCCCCCCCCCCCCCGACCCACCCTCCCTCCGCCACGTCAACCCTCTGCTTATCTCCGCTACCCTCTTGAGGGAGGGACCGCTGAGGTATGCTGCTAGATAGCTTTCCTCCCCAAGCACTGCAAAGTCACTCCACCGTATTTGTTGGTGTCCTGATTCAGTTGTCAATCGAAGCTGCGTGCAGATAAGAGCCACAGCAACAAGGAACACATGAAAGTTAAACGCCGGGAGTCCAAAAGAAGACGATCACACGACACCACTCAATCTAATACAACCACATCCATGATGTCAAGGACGAACATCGCAAAAACGTTGTGTAAAAATTAACCAAAGCGCTGACTCGGGAACACGAACGAAAGGACTTAAGATTGCAAAGAAAAATGGCCAGCCTTGCAAGTTACCCAATGCACAAAACAGTTGTTCGAGTGCTCGACTGACGTATTACAGATGTGGAAAGACAGCTAATAGAAAGGACGCATCACAAGAAGGGGATAGGCACACACTTGAATCCCTTTCCTTTTCCCCTCCCTTGCAAGGCCCAAAATGTTCATCGTTAAGTGGGAAGTCGCTGAGCACCACCTATCTGCTGTGAGACCGCCGCACCCACTCGGCGCGCATTTCCACTTTCACCACTACTTAAACCACCAGTACCCTAGGGAGTCTTAGGGCCCGTCTGACGCAAATGCATATGGACTCACGCAGCGCAGAGATTCAGCCTCCGCGTTAACGCCTAAAAATGAGGTAGGTACTGGCCGTCGCGGTGAAATGGCCACGAGGCTAGCATGTAAAGAACAGTTGGAAAGCCTGAACAGATGTTACAACGTTCCAGCAGAAAGAAGCGCAGACGGGGAGCGGAACGAAAGCATGTACATAGTTCTCTTAATTGCAAGCAGCGTTGGTAGAGACACTAAATTGGGAGGAAGTTCACTTTTTAATGAAGGTCTGTGCGACGAAACGTGTCCCCCTGGAATTGTTTTCCGTTTTTTGTTACTCAGGCGGTTTTGTAGCATTCTTGGCCTATCAGTGTTCTTGAGGGTGGGTTTCGAAGCGGCCTCAGCAAGTCCTCAACGCAGCGAAGGGCATAGTCACACCAGGGCATTCTGGGACTTATCCGACTGCAACCATGAGCAGATTCAGTGGAAACCGTCCTGGTGTGAATACGCACTGAGGTTTAGCGTCTCTACCCACCCTGCTTATAATGAAGACAAACTATGTTCATGCTTTCAGTTCCGCGCAGATACTTCTCTTCATTACAAGCAGGGCAGGGTGGGTAGAGACGCTAAACCTCCGTGCGTATTCACACCGGGACGGTTTCGACTGAATCTGCGCATGGTTGCAGTCGGATAAGTCCCAGAATGCCCTGGTTTGACTATGCCCTTCGCTGCGTCGAGGACTTGCTGAGGCTGCTTCGAAGACTTGCTGAGGCTGCTGCGAAACCCACCCTCAAGAACACTGATAGGGCAAGAATGCTACAAAACCGCCCGAGTAACAAAAAAGGGAAAAACACATCCAGGGAACACGTTTCGTCGCACAAACCTTCATTAGAAAGCAAACTCCCTCCCGATTACGTCCAACAACGCCCCGGCCCCCCCAAAACACGCACGCACGCACACACACACACACACAAACACACACACACACACACACACACACACACACANACACACACACACACACACACACACACACACACACACACACACACACACCATCTATGTACAGTGAACTGACCACCTCCAATGCGCAAGAATTTACGGACGCAAGTTTTCACCGCAAGATTCCCTCCACACGGCGTCTAGGCAGAGACCCGACCCATCCACCACAAAGAATAATCTATGCACGGTAAACCTGAGACTCCATGTCACGTGCGAACGCTGCGCGGCGAGACACTAACCCCTCAAGGCAATGGTTTTATTAGCTCGCCGTTCTGAGCTGGGCAATTGTGCGGCTGCTGTAATGCTTTCCCCAAGACAGGACTGAAGAGAGTGAAAAGGAACAGAGGGGACGGGTTGTTATTCACTGTCCAACTACGAGGAGGTGACTGTGTATACTAAACATTACACGGGCAACGAGAAAAGGGTATTGGTATCAGAATAACCGTGACGTCGCCTCATAATACGTATCACGAAGCGCAGCGTCTCCAACAGAACTTGCGAGGCACGCAAGGTTTAGCAAGTTTCGACGAGAAAACTAGTAATTACACTACAGCCGCGGAACAAAACAGTTGCTGTGTCCTTCCTTCAGCACGTCAGTTAAAATTGGAACGATACAGAGAAAAATTTACCACGCCCCGCGCGCGGGGCAGGGATAAACGCGCACAAATCATAAAATGGCCCAAATTATTGTGAATGGAGGACAGAAAACAATCACATCGGGCTCCTATTGCTCCACAGAAGCATCCAAGCTGTGTCCGGATTAAAGAAGAGGCGAGAGAGCCAGATCCCTCACGCTCTGTTTCAATTTGATGAACAAAACGGCGGGGAAGGCAGGCGGGGGGAAGCCCAGAGACGGCTGCTGCTTCTGGCGATAAGCTGCCAAGAATCGAACTCGCGATCTTAATCATACTACACTATCAACTGATCTATACGCACTGTAACGACTTGTGACTGCATCATACAACTCTGTTACCTCCCTTGATGACAATCGGATCGCTCGCCCAAACAAACATAAGTATCAAATCCCTAGAAGAGAGGCAAAGAATACGAAGTTCCCGCCCCGTCGAATCGCGGCCGTTACCACGTATGCTGCGACGGTGCGCACACAATCCCACCCAAGAACAAAATCACCGCACGAGCCCTTCGCTGTCCACAACACCAAGAGTATGACCACTAATCGTCTACAGCCAGCGCCGAGGTAAGCCGTCATCAAAGCATATAATCAATCTCCCCTCTTCTGCTCCCCCCGCGTTCAACAACCCTCCTGTTCGATGGCGCTCCCTGCTAATGTGGCTACCCGTTTCGCCGTTCTTTCCCTCACACAACGAACCGCCCTCCCATCCCTCCCGTTCCTTCCCTCGTCCCTTGCCTTCTGGACAGCTGAGAACCCTATCCACCCGTACCCACCTTGTCAATCATAGCCTCGACGACCGACGCGACGAGATCAAGGTGTCGCCGCCCGCGCCTCCCCCCACCCGACGAATCACCCTTTGCGCAGAGCTTCGTCGAAGTGCTAATTCCTCCGTCCAATCGCTCTCCTGGACATCTCCACGCCGTCGAATCGCGCAGACGAATCGTGAAGACTATGCATCCGGATAGGCTGATTGGCAGTTTCCTTGATGGACTAGGGATTCGTTATGCCCATCTCAAAAAGACCTTGATAAGTGTTTCGACGTCATTCCACCGCGCCCTAGTCATAAAATCTTGAGAGAAAAACGTACGTCTCTAGGGCACGTCCTTGAGTTTGAAATTCGAAGACCGCGTTCTTGGGATTGAAAATCAAGCACCGCGTTCGTGGGAGTGGCGGCGGCATCCTCCGCGAAACCATGAAATTCAGACTATATAGTCAGAACGCAACAATGACTGGCCCGTCGAAGAAGCTCGGTCCTGATGCTACCCGCTGACCCCTGGCCGGTATCGCCCACCAGCAGGTGGGTGCAACTCCGGCATGTTCCCTCGTTGGAGGCTTGAGCACGGATGTGGCTGCTACGGGGTTCCTGTAATACTAAAATGATTGACTTACCGTGAGGGCACGGGTGCGCAGCCCGGAGTTTGTATATGCTTGATTGATAAAGGAGGCGTTATTGGTGAGGTTTAGAAGTGAGGCGTTATTGGTGAGGTTTAGAAGTGAGGTGATTGTTGCATGAAAAAAAGGAGTATTTGTGTGTATGTGTCAAGATTAGTGTGTGTGTTTGTGTGATACTAAGGGTGTTTGTGTTCTATCACATCTGTTAGTGCTGGAGTGTGTGTCAGTTGATGTAGCTCAGTGGTTAGAGCACGGGTTGGAAATGCGCATTGTGGTATAAGGTTGAGGGTTCAAAACCCTGCAGGGCTTTAGATTGACGCACGGCTGGGCAACACTGCCTGCGCACTGCCTGCGATAGTCCATGGTGTTGTATGTTGGTTGTGGGTTTCACAGGGTTTGCTTGAGGTGTTGGTCTCAGGTGTTCTGATGTTCTCCCCAGTCTGGCATATCACACGTTCATTCCATTTCCGGTAGTTGCTCATACGGTGGAGTCTTGGATTACATGTTACAAGGTTACGGGTTCAAGCTTGGTTCGGTCCTTGGGGGGGGGGGTGACACGCCAGCTTCCAGACCTGCGCCATCTTCCACCCCCCCCCTTTTTTGAATTTCAGTGCTTTTGCAAATAGGCCGACGAGGCCTCCTTTTGTATTTCCATGAAGGGAGGTCCGTCCTTCTCAGGACCTTCGTCATTTTTGGATCAGTTTTTGGAATTTCATCTTTTGCAATTCATGAAATGCATGGGAATTACGCGCGCCTTCGCGAGCGCGCTAGGAAATTGGCTCGACAGTTAGAAATTTCGGAATGAGCGGAACCTGACGTGTCCTTTCTTGTGCATGAACATTCTCAACTTCGTCTTGGAAAACTCCGGGAATTTTCGTAGGAATCTGAATAGGTATAGGACTTTTTTCCTCGCTTGCTCTACACGCGGATATGGTACTTTTCAATTTTGAATTAGCTGTAACTGTTTCGGTGCCCTTTTTGCCTTCGCGTCAGCGCCATACATGCGAACCTCCCGTCCCCGCTCCCCTCGCTACCTTCGACACTCTCTTTTTCACGCTCATGCTCCTTTTTTCTTTGTAACCGTTTTCCAGCTTCGTCACGCGCGCCTTTTCTCTTTCTTGATCGTTTGAATCTTGGTTTCATTTCGCGCTATCCTTCGCGCGCTTCTTCTTCCCGCTCTAATCCTCGCGCCGAAATACTTTGTCGAATCCCTCTTCCCTTCCTCTAGCCAAGGAGACGCGCCATGTAAGAAGGAAATTCCTGATACACGACGATTTTGATTGACTACAAAGGGGATCCAAAGGATCGATATGACTTTCGCCAGGCGAGTGTCACTGAATCTTCCTCTACCCCTCCTTACCTCAGTACTAACCCTTCCTAGCATCTATCTCATTTTTCGTAGCTATAAATTTTGCAAGTGATCCCGAAAATCTCTCTCTCGACTCATCAACCAGCTTTCGGAAAGCAGTGGCTAGGTGGTATGTGAAAGATGCGAGTCGAAAAGTCTCGATGAACTGAATGTAGCCTTGGCGGCGGGGCGCTGGATCGCCCGATGAACTGTGGGATTCAGGCCAGACTAAGTTGGTGGGGTGACGATCTCCATAGTGAATTAGCACGTGACGGTCGGGATCGTTAGTGCTTGTGAGAAGTTTGAATCGGAAGCGACTGAGTACATGGCCTGGGTCCATGGTGGAATTTTATGACGGAAACGCCTCTTTTTGTCCCAAAATCTGTATCTTCGAGCGTGAGTTCTGATCACTCGGCCTTTAAGCCGGAATTTCCCTTGACAAGATCGTCGGACATTTTGTGGTTGTTTTCTATTCGTTCCTCCCCTCTGATCTGCGTCTATTCTCCGTCACTCTCTCCCCCTGTCATGTTTTGTTATAATGGATGAATTATGGTGACTTTGCTTCTCTCTCTTTGATATGTGCATGCAGAGGGTCGTATTAGATAACTTATTGTAGCATGATGGGGAGGATGACTGGCTGATCGACTAAATGATCTGGCTGCCTGAAGTGTCGAATGAATGATGTATGATTAAGAAAGTTTTTTGTGTTTGTTTTGGTTGCCATGTGGACTGACGGCTTCGACCCGACTCGGCGTCAACTTCCCATGCCTCCACCGCGCCCCTTCCCCGAGCCGTACAACGAGGAAAGGATACGTGTATGCGAGTGGGACGTACGAGAAGTTGTCACTAAGATCGGCAGGCGCTACTACTTTCCTCCTGAAACTCGGTGTTATGGGTTCGTCGATGCGGGTTTTGTTATTGTTGATACGCATTTTTTGCCTTATTCGTTGTTATTATCATTTAACGAGTTGATCGTCATCCCGTGGACGGCAATGGAGCCTTATTGGCCTCACACTCTGTGCAATAATTGTCGCCGCTTCGAGCGTTACCGAGCTACCACAATTGTCGCCACTTTGAGCGTTACCAAGCCACTGCACACGTGGCGAGGACGAGCATAAGGAGAGGATTACTCGATTGAAGCCCTTCACGTCGGATTCGGAGTTGTGTAACGAGCGCCAACGAGATCTCATCCGTAAACGAGATACCATGTATGTACCCGCCCCCTTTCACGTGAAACGAAGAGCGACGGCTCGCTGGGAAGTTCAGCGATAGTTTTTGGATTAATTTCTCATAGTCGCGAGTCCCGCCCGAGCCTTTTTTTCCCTTAAACCCGCGCGGCAACGGACCTCCTTCTTACTAAGGTCGGACTTGTCCCCACACTCAACTTTTACAAAAATCCTTGGCACACCCTATCTTCGTTGTCCTCCTGGGGCCCTTCCACAAATCAAAACGCTCCAACTGGGAAGCATCGCAGGGCGTGAGGTTGGTATCGGAGCCGACACGTGTCGGTTCTGACGTTAGTAAGGCGAGCTGGTGAGAGGAAGATCAAGCGACATATCTAATCGTTTGAGTCCTCCCGTCACTCAACAAAGGTCCGCCAAAACTCGACCAGAGATGCCCATTACCGATGTTCATGGAGCGGCTCCTCGGGTGATGGTGAGTATCCCCGCCACCTTCCCGTTTTATCCCAACCATACCCATCCTGAGGCATGGCCCGAAGTTGTGCAAGCTCAGGGATATGGCGTTGAGGATCTTCCTCATGCCATCACCCTGCTTCTCCGAAACATCGCTCATGATTGGTTTAAAAGGCATAGGTGGGTAAATTGCGATACGTTCAAAATAACGTTCCTAGCAAGGTTCGATGAAGTCAGTGAGGATTCTGCGTGGTTTGTGCTAAAAACCCATCCACAGGAACCCGGAGAACTGCTTCCCAACTTTGTAAATCGATTTCGAACTGCGTTAGATAAACTAGGACGAAAAGAAAACGTTGCTCGAGACTTGTTCATCGATCATCTCCGCAATCCAGTACTGAAAGCGAAATTGCAGAAAAAGGTTCCCCCAAACACGAACCAGCTACTTGTCATCATCGCTAAAGCCCTTGAGCTAGACTTATTGGATATGCGCAAATACATCAGTCAGGGGGATGGAGACATCTCGGACACGGTACAAGATGCGACCGCCAAATGGCGTTCGTGACTCAGAGCGGTGGGGCGATTTCACCCTCGCCCTGATCGCGACTATCAAGACGGACCCTCCCCGGATCCCTGTCCTCATCTCCTGTCTTCTGCCTCTCCCCTTCCTCCCAAGATAGCCTCAGTGAATACCGTCATGCCCCAGGTTGCTGCACCAGTACCTATCATTAACCTGCATCCGCCCAGATGATTCATACCGCTACGACTAAACAATCTGAGTGGATGAACAATCTGATTCGGATGCGGACTTCCTAAATGGATCGATTGGAACGAATCATGACGAAACTGATAAAGGCTAACTCAAGTTCTCCGCGTCTCGCTCCTTCTTCGTATCCCCCGCCGACTGCGTCTCCCGCCCCGTATCAGGTGGCCAATCCAGTAAAAAGCGTTGAATGTTACAACTGTAAACAACCCGAACACTTTGCACGAGACTTCCCCCTGCCAAGGCGTAACCAACCCCCGCCAGCAGTCGTGCCTGTCGCCTTGAACCAAGGTCAGGTAGCCTCATTGTTAAAAACAACAAGAGTGAGGGAGTCTGACTCTTTCTCTACAAAACCATCTTCTTCGCCTGAACCCATCGCGCTTTGGGATCATCTTCCGAAGCGGCCAATATCGTTGATCCGACATAGTATCTCCAATTAGCAAGACTAATCAGAGCGATCCGACCTTGGCAAAGACGAGCTCGGATGGGTTGAACAAGGATCAGAACCCGGTTCTCAGTTCCGAACAGGAAAGATCGACATTCTTCCGACGCTGAAAACACTTGGATATCCGAGTCTCTGTCCTGGTGGGCCATTTACTAACCATATCAGAGGTAGCGAGTAACAAACTTCTCCGGCAGTGTCAGAAAACCCAAAAGTGATTCGCGTACCAACGTGTTCAAAGGATGCTGAAGAAAAAGAAGGACGACAAAGCAAAAGTAGGCCCTCCTCCATCGGAACCGATACCCACCGTAAACGTGTTCGACGCGCCTGAAACTAATCGGGTCGCTACCATTTCGTACGCAGAGAAGGATCACTTTGTACGTGTTCGATCTGTTCTATGGAAGAGTACAAAGTGTGATTGTGAGGTATGGGGTAAACCGTTCAATACTCTCGTTGATACCGGATTGTCTGTTGTTGCGATATCCTTGGAAACCATTCGCAAAATTTGACGATTGAATTCAATCCTTCCTTTGCCCGGGAAAGACAACTATGTCTCTGTTAATGAAGAAATCA